ATAGTTCGTTGGACGAAATAAAAGAACATCGAACAGAACGATGTAATAAGAGAAAAAACGAATAAGAGGGAGAGAGCAAACATTCACGCGCGATCATTTTTCACGCAGTCGCAGCAGGTATACCAATCGAACGCATTTTACTGCCCAGGTTCGAGGTTCGGTGAAAAGGGAAGGAGCAGCAGCATAGAGCGAAGGAAGAAAGAGAAGAGGAGAGAAAAGAGGAGAGCGGAGAGTGACGGCAAGAGCACGTGGTTCGAGGCAAGGCGACGCGCTACGACGCCACGAGCGTGGTTTACAGGGTAGAGAGAGCAAATTTCATCGGGCCGGCAAACTCGTTCGTTCGACTGTCGAACGACAGGCTCAGCCACAAGAGGCAACTAATCAACGAGGAGAGCAAACTTGAGGGAATTCCTGGAATTCCGAGAGAATAAAAAATAGTGTATACTGGATTGGCATACTTTTCCGTTTTCGCGTAGGTCTGTCCTCTTCCTCTAGGCCCGGTTGCTCCCACACCAGCACGTGGCCATTTCGTCCTCTATTTTCTCCGTTCGCTCTCTCGTTGCCGTTCATCGCACACTCAAAACGCGCACGCGATCACACACGACCGATATACAACACGATGATGACGACGATGGAGAAAGAGCAACGGAGTGTCTCTGTTCTAAATTATCACTTGCGAATCGCGAAAGTGATTTTCGATCTCTGGATCCTTTGGTTCTGAGGATATTTCGACACACGAAAGAAAGGGACGTGATTTTACACGTCCCGCGAAATTTTCACTGACAATAAACGAAGAAAAGTGGCACTAAAGCGCGTAATGTCGCGCTCTCGTGCTTTGGATAGTAATGACGAGACACGCGACGGCTACGGTGACGACGACGACAACGCGACACTTGGTCGAGATACAGGTTCAGGCGCGAGCAAACTCACTGTGCGCCAGTAATATCGGTCTCTGGTCGCTATGAATCGGTTGTTGGTTTCGTGTACTCCCGATAACGATGATTAACACGATCTCGCGGTCGGAAGCGAGCACGCACCTGCCTCTTTCTTTCTTTCTCCCTCGTGGAAGCTCGCGGAGAGCGTCGCGGAAACCGTCGGGGAGCAACGGGGGACGCTCTGACGAAACGAATCGTCCGACCGACCGAGACCCTTGGGCCAATCACCGCGCGACCCTTGCCAATCCTTCGTGCTCGTTGGACGCGCCAGCGCCATCTGCTGTCCAAAGCCCGATTCCGCCAATAGAAACGTTGCGCGCGACTACGCACCTCTTGCCATTGTAATTTTGAATCGCGTTTCGGTTGCGCTGAATTATTTCTCGATCGCTTCTGACATTGCGTAGTGAATGTTTCTCCGCTAACTCTTTCAATCAATTCGTGCTCATTTCCTTTCTAAGACTTTCACTTTCGCGAGTTTCCGTAGTTGGCCGAGATGAAGTCCCGTTCAAAAATATCCACGAAAATTACGTAATCGAAAAATTACCGGCAAAATTATAGCGTGAAACGTGGCCGCCTACGTGCGTCTCGTTTATTGGTTTCGATTATCTTTGCAATTGACGCTCGGTAACGTGATTCGCCGATCCAACGATATTGTGATCCACACGAAATCCTCGGAACTCGTTATCTTCTTTTCAAAGCTAAGCTGTTTGGAAATGGCGTAATTGCAATCGCGGTCGCGTCATACATCGCATATTACGAGCATCAAGAATCCGCGCGCAATCGAAAAAAAAATACAATCTCTCTCTCTCCCTCCTGTCCGGTTATCTTTCCCAGACTTTGCTACATTATCGCGACGACGAATTCTTTTGAGAAATGCGGTGAGTCACCGCGAAGATGTTCTTGTTGCGTTTATTTAACAAGAGACTCGGTCGGCGATTAACTGCAAGGTCGTACCGGTGTTCCATTAACCGGAAGGGAATTACGCGGCGTAACACTTCAAATTTCATGATTCATCACGAGATGTGTCGCCGCGTCATCAATTTAACGAGCGTCCAGAATTCCGCACGAATCGTACACGGAAATTGCATCGCGACGATCATCTGGAACGGTGAAAAGTTCGTATTAACCGCGCCACCAAATTGCGTACGAAAATAAATATACGCGATGTGCTATTGATAGAATCAGAGATCTCATGTGCCAAAAATCGTTGCAACGTGCACCAGTGCACGGCCACACGAGCCACACGTCAACCATTTTGCTTGCAAATTGCACTTTTCGTCTTTTTGGTTGTCGTCATTGTCGGCATTGTCAAATTGTTCATGGAAACGGTCGATTTTCGAGTACGATTGTCCCGTGCGATGACGAAATTGGAAAACTGCGGTTGATAAGCGCGTACCGAAGTCGATTTCCTGCGTTTCAGTACATCATGATTCTGAACGTTTGAAACATCGTTAATTATGCTTCGTTGTGTAACACATTTCGTAACTAGGTGGAATTTTTCCAATTCGTGGATCAAGTAAACGAATGTACGCTTAATGCAAATTATCGCCAGTCGATAAAAATGGAAATGACTAATCGACCGCGTTGTCACGGTCGATAATGTGAGATCGCAGACGAGATATAGACACAGACAGATACAGAATAAACCTTGCATCTTATGGGACTTTTTGTCCGGAGCTTTGGGGCTGAGAAGACCCTTACCATTTTCTTCGTGTCGTTGCCAACGTTATCGATTCAGTATAGAATAAGATTACAACAATAGTAGCGATTGGAATTGGAATTAAATGTAACTATTAAGTTACTTTGTAGATGAATTCGTAGGTATTTGTAGATGAATCATCACATGCACGTGTTCTACTGTTGTTCTACTGTTCTACGTGAACAATTCTACTCACGCAATCCAATATATGTGTGTATCATTATACGTAAATTTAACAAAATTTTTTACATCTGTCGATTTTACCATCTTTGATGGTTGGATTGTATGTAATTCCTAAAGTCACCGCTTTATATCGTAGAGGGCATAACAAAAACTGAATTTTACACGATCGGTATTTCAGAACGTTAGGTGCAAGGTCTATCCTGTACCTGTCTGTGGTACTACTACGCAATGTATGTAGTGTCGATAAGGGAGATGCTCGTGTTTATTAACGCGACTTTTCGCGAGCCGGAGGGAATCTATTGAATTTTCGTTTGTTTCATTGGCAGTTTTGCTTTCAAATGGACAAATAGACGGGTTTTTACGCATTTTTATCTCGGTGACGTTCCATCCTGGCACGACCTCGATGCTCTCGAGCCTCGATTCCACTCTCGCTTAGGCTTGACTCGACTTCGTGTCATGCGTGTCAACAGGAAACGATCCGGCCCCTAAACGCATTATTCACTTTGTAAAGTGGAAAATAACGTCCGCCTCGGGCGAAGATCGGAGGAACGTGGAATGCGCACGGCAGCCTAGCTGCGCCGGAAATGTTCGCCGGAACACGAAATTGAAAGTAATGTGCGAAAACGTAGATGTCTAGACAGTCTCAGTCTTGGAGTAGAGCGTCATGGACCTTTCCTTTCTTTGAACTTTTCAAACGATTCGTGTCAAGGTATACTACACGGCTTTCGCGATTTCTGAGAACGCGTGAACCGCGGCGACGTTTTTCAAGTTGCAAACGTTGTCCACTGTTCTCTTGCAAAACGTCTTTTCGACTATCTTTCTTTTCCTGCCAGAATGCGATTATTTCATCGGACTGACCGCGGTGACTGTGATTAAACGCGTTGGCGTCGACCATCATCGGCGAGGATCAATTAATGTGGCGGCGGTGGCGTCCACCGCTATGGAACATTGCTCGCGGCCAGTACGTTCGAGGAGACTCTCGCATATAACAGAGTAGCCCGGCTGCATATACGTACTTACGTCCGCGTGAAACTTTCTACTTTCGTGCTTTCGTCGACGCGTTGCCATGTGACACGCTCGAGTGAAGGAATCTGGCTGGCCCGCTATGATAGATCTTCCCCTCTGGTATTCGATAACATTTCAAAATTGTGTTCCCGATAGAAGCTACCTCACGTTCGAATTTTCAAATCGCGTAGAAGGTCGCGTAGGGTTAAAAGAAGGAAAACCGTTTAATTTCGATTCGCAGTACGGCGTGGATTTGAACCACCTGTACGGTGTGCCTGCTACCTGCGATCGATTAAGTCATTGCTTATTGGAATTCCGTGGCGATTCGCGCTGTGCCGATCAATTGTTTCCGCCTGGCTGCCTGTTTGTTATTGGCTGCGCACGTTTCATCCGCTCCAAGAACACAACGATTACAGTGCTAGAGAGCTACTACTCCGTCTATAATACATTATTCAAGAGAACGTAGATGAGAGACACAACTTTCCGTCCGTTCTAGCAAGTTGCTTTCAAGGAGTAGCGATTATCGTCCATGGTCTTGATCGCGAATTAGTTGGCCTCGAGAGCTTCGAACTTTTACCCCCTGAAAGATAGGAAATACCGATAGGATCGGCGCGTGGCCAGAATTGCCCCTCGTGCATTCCTGTAGCGAAAGGGCAAACAGGGAAGAGTGATGTCGACTCGCTGCTTGTAGCGAACGTGAGCGAGAACCGTAGAAACAAGGTCGGTCTGGACTACGAAAGAAAAAAACTAGTCCGTTGCATATTTATGGAGTACCTAGGCTCGCGTGCGTCGCAGTTAATCGAACTACATACATACTATAGTTGCCGGATGGGTTACAGGTAATGCGTCTGATTCTGGTTTATGTGATCTTAGATGAAAGTTTCGAATTGCCTAGATTTGAAAACATTAGCCGACTTAATTTTCGACGTTATCGTTCCTGCTGCGGTATCGTGCGCATCGATGTAATGTGTCGAACGCTAGATAACCGCGCGCGGTTCGCCGCACGTGCGGCAACGATTAGAAAATACGAGATTCTATACCGTATACAAGTTTTGGCCGCTTATATAAATGGAACGAAAAGAAACGTTCGATAAGAGGCATGGACTTTGACGAGACTACGTTCGTCCAGATTCCGGGTACTCGTTCGGTAATGGTAAAGGAACGTTTGATGGTTCCGTACAATCGGTGGTCACGTACGTTCTCGGTAAAAGAACCGTTTCAACCGCGTATTACCTGCCTTGTCAAAGTCCGACGAAGACAGAGTCGTGGAAAAGTAACGAGGTGTAAGAAAAGAGTGGTTCCCAAACGACAATTAGGTTGCACAATATTTTTTTCAAGAGAGGATAGACACGTAAGTACAATCTTTGATGTCGCGGGCGACATTCCTACGTATGCAGTTGCTTCTTTTCATTAGAATCGCCGATCGATCGCGGCCCTGACATGAAACAAGGGCGCAAGCAATCTGGACGTGAGAGCGGGATGCGTAGAGATCGGTCGTAAATCGAGTGGGACGAGCAGAACTCATTTAACCAATGGCAAAATGTGCTCTTTTGTGCGTTGCGTCGCATCGAGCATGTGTCGTGCCGCGGAAAATTATTTCGAGTCAGCCAGAGAAGGAGGAGGAGGAAGAGGAGACTTGCGACACGCCGTTCGTATCACTAATTTCACCGTAAATCTCGTAAAAAACCAAGGTGATCGCATGAGATAGTGGCACGGCAAGATTCGTTGTTTTCACGATGCATTATCTCTGGGATATTGCGCGCACGCGTCTTATACCTGATCGCGGGAGAACAACGAACCTAAGGATGGATGGAACGTGAACCTAGGAAAATGATAGATCATGTTGACGATGAGAAACAGCGGAATAGGAGACTGAGAGGGGGAGAGACAGAGTTTGTTCTTATTTTTGATTAACTTGCTTTGTTCAGTGCGTTTTTAGTTCAAGATATAATTGATAATGTTAATGGTTATGCAAATAGAGCGTGTCTTGTTACGTAAAGAGAACGCGATGGCCCGCGGCGCGAAACCAAACAGGAGGAGAGAAATTCGCGAACGTCAAGGGAATATCGGAAGACCGGAGATCGATGGAGTAGGAAGGGAGAAAAGGAAAGGAAGAGAAAGAAAGAAGGGACTCACCAGTTGGCACGGATACCTCGGTCTCGAACACCTCGGGCCTCTTCACGTCGGACTTGCGGTTCATGAGAACGCCGTTAGTGGACATGATGATGCTGGTAGACGGCGGCAGCGGCGAGATCTGGTTCTCAATGGCTCGATCGCGATCGATGAAACACAAGCAAAAGCTCGCACGCCGGTCTCGCTGCTACTGTTGGAAATGCTGCCGAACTCGCGACACTTAGCCACAAACACCTAGTGGACGTTGACCAATTAGAACACACGATTCGAACCCCACCGGCGTCCACCGCCTCCCCCACGCGTAGATATCGCATCTCCTGAATCGAATAGCCGCGGGAAATCAAAGAATTTCGCCGTTCTCGAGCCTTCCAATTTTTTCCTCCCTCTCTTTCTTCATGTCCCGCCTTCTGCTTCCGTCCCTATCTATTCCCTGCTTCTAACCTGGCTGCGTTCCGTCGCGCTGTTCTCGCCTCTCTCTCTCTTTCTCTATCTCTGTGCACACCACGGGCCTACTACTTCTCCCTCTGCTTGCACTCTATGCCGTGGTACCACCGCGCGCACTGTATGGAGTAGATACCTTTGATAAACGATCTCGACCATTCCTCCCTCTCGATGCGACCACCGCTCTCTCGAAACGGAGGAATTTCCGTGGAAACTAAATTGCAAATGGCAACGATTGCTGGTGGCGGAGGACTAGATCGAGGAGCGAAAGTTGAAAGATTCGTGAACTCTCGATGATGAATGGAGTTTTCGTTGACACGTAATGGTAAATCGTGCTCGATCAAGCCTACAAATTATTCCGAGCACGAACGCTCTCGCTTAACGAGAGACCTCGAGGTTGATGGAAATCAGCGATTCTCGCAGCGTTCGCGCTCACTTGCCTCGACCTCGTCGTCGTAGTCGTAGTCGTAGTCGTAGTCGTAGTCGTCGAGGGTCGATAAACTATGGTCGTTTAGCGGTCCACCACGCCTCAGGGATCCGTGCGTTTCAAAGTTTCGAAGAGGCGCATAAACAAGGGAGAACAACGGGAGCTCGTGACGCACCTGAGCTTAAGCTTCAGATCCGGTAATCCTGAGCACGCGTAGCTCATCGCGATAGCACAGTGTCGCAGCCCACCACCTCCGCAGCCCCTGATACGGACAACTCGATGGGCTCGGCGGCGCACGTGTCAATCACTAACTCGTCACGCGATACACGAGCCGGTGCAAGCGGCGCGCGCAACGTCAGTTTTCCTCTCGCGAGTATCGCGTTGCAACCTACTCTTTCTTCCATTTCCGTCTCACCTCGCCACCGGTGCTTCTCCATAAATCCTGGAAACAATCCCTCTCTGCTCAAACTGCCAGCTCTATAATCGTGATAATCGCGGCCCAGCTTAGCCACCTAATCATCTACCATCTACCATCGGTAGATCGATCGACGAAATCAGACGATCGAGGATCCTATTCTATACTGCTTCCTTCAATTTACCGTGTTACGAAGCGGCGACGCCCTGTCGAACCACCGTTTTCCTTTCGGTTAAATTATACCCCTGTAGTGGACGCGAAGATGATAATGAAGACGCGGCATCGACCGAGAATCTATTATGTTCGTAGCAATATGTCATTTGCAATCGCATGATGGTCCAACCAAGCTTCTGAATATTTCACCGCTCACGATACGTAAGCGTGACGACCGTGGCGACATCGTCGAAAGAGAATCTAAGCGAACGTTAAAAGTGCGCTACTACGGTTCTCTTCGCATATGCATCATGATTTTTTTCGCACGTATCTTTTCTTTGCTCTCTATACTAGCCCATAGTGCGTTCCTTCCGTTCGCATTTGAGATGTCGTCCGTGCAGCTAATCGACGACGTTATCATAGTTTTGTTTCCATCGGTAATGCTATCGGTGCATCTCTGTCAGCTCCAGCAAGGTGAGGAGAGTGAATTGCGTAACACTTCACACCTGCAACCGATTTCTCTCTTTTACACGCTTACAGACGACGTGATCGACCTTTCCAGGATAATGTCGCGGAAGGGATTGACGCATGAGATCCATCGCGACCTCGAGGAGTTCCTGACACGGAGCCACGACAATCGGGAGCACAAAATGTTGTACGTGTTGGACCTGGACTGCGACTATGCGCTTCCACTTTTGAGATCGGTACGTCTCGTGCTGGTTAGAGTGGAGAATTTGAGAAAGAATCAAGTTCGTTTTCACAATTCTCAGGCAAACGCTACCGGCATGTTCATGGCACCGATCAAGTGGTTGCTGCTTCAAGATAACGCGACCATAGACATATTAGAAACGTTCAAAGATATGGCCGTTTTCCCAGACAGCGAGGTGATTCTAGCCAGAAGGTTGGAGGGGGCCAATCACTTCACGGAAATAACGTCCATCTACCGCCCTAGCCCGCTTCGCGACGCGATAATAGAGAATCGAGGGAACTGGACGAGCAACGGAGGAGTTCGTCTGGCAAATATTCATGCAACCTCGCGACGTAGGAGAGACTTACTTGGAACACCTTTAAAATCCTGTCTCGTGGTAGTGTATCTATGTTTGTGGTTCAACGCGGATATCGATTACTCGGATTTCCGAGCGTACGCAGCGAGTGACTTCGATCTAACCGATCCATTTTTATTTCGGATTAAGTAATTATATTCGACTGATTAATTTGCCGGGTAAACGATAAGTCAGTTTGATAAGATACCAAGAAGACCGGATAACTGGTTTCGTGATTGTACTCGTCCGCCAGCGGAACGGAAAATTCACGAGCATAGATCGACGCGATAAATCACCGTTGCATTTGCATGTTCCTACAGATGACCGATCCTGATACGATCAACCATCTAACCGATTACGAAAATAAGCACATAGATCCAGTTACGAAGGCCAATTATCCTTGGATACTGCACATTGTCAGTCGAATGAACGCAACGTGAGTGGTTGGTGCTCGAGCACTTCTATCCTTCTATTTTTCCTCTCTTTCTTTTAGTCAAAAAATCTCCGTGTCAGTAGCGTTCCGAGACGGAATTGTTTGGCCGGAGAAAAGATACGTTTCGAATAAACGCTGCGTCTTGTTTTCACGGTTTAGCGTTACCTTTCGTATATCGAACACTTGGGGATATCGCGAAGAAAATGGCTCGTGGAGCGGCATGATGGGGATGCTGCAGCGTCAAGAGATCGATATAGGAGGCACTGCAACCTTCTTTATAGCGCAGCGAATCGGTGTGGTTGACTACGTGCAACTGTACACTCGTACAAAGTAATGATCTTGAATTACTAGACGGAAATAGGTAAGGGTACCTGTACGATACATAAAAATTGTTCCAGTTCGGCTTTCATATTCCGTCAACCCTTGCTGTCGACCGTCAGCAACATTTTCACGCTGCCGTTTCAGCGATCGGTTTGGATAGCGATTGGGATTCTTCTGCTGATAGTGCTAGGCTTGCTTCACTTCACGTCGAAGTGGGAATATCATCGTGGCGCATCGCTGGCCAGGGCCGAGTATTGGCAGCAATTCAATCCGGCCGAGCAAACACTCAGCGATAATTTTATGGTAGTATTGGGAGCGGTAGCGCAACAAGGTGTATATTTTCGACCAACTTCTCCCCTCGATGAACAAACTCTCTTTTCTTTCCCCAAAATCAATCGATTCATTTCACACAGGATACTCTTACGAGCCATACCGTGTTTCCCCCCGAATCGTTACCCTGATGCTTTTGATTGCTGCTCTCAGCTTGTACGCTTCTTACACGGCGAATATCGTTGCTCTACTTCAGTCCACCACTGATTCCATCAAGACTCTGACCGATTTGTTCCATAGTCCATTGAAACTGGGTGCTCAAGACGTAGTCTATAGCCGATATTATTTCAAGGTACGAATATATCGTATATCAGTAATGTATTTTCAATGATCCCTATATATCTGAATGCAGTCCTTTGATGATCCGATAAGAAGGGCCATAGTGGACCAGAAGATCGAACCCAAGGGTCAGAACACTTCGTGGATGACGATTCAAGAGGGAGTTCATCGCGTGAAAAACGAATTATTCGCGTTGCATGGGGAACGAGGTACGGTGTACAAGATAATGCAGGAAACGTATCAAGAGGAAGAAAAATGCGGAATCACGGAGCTTGATTTCATTAAAGTGTTGTTCCCTCTGTTAGTGATACAAGTTCGATCTCCGTACTTGGAGATCGTCAAGAACACGTAAGAAGATTCATACGATAACGGCAACAGTGATTACATTGATAAACGACTCTCCATTTTCAGGGCTCTTCTGTTACGCGAGACTGGCCTGAAATATCGCGAAGAGTACCGACTATACACGGAGAAACCCAAGTGCCAAGGTCAGACGAGCTTCATCAGCATAGGCTTCACCGAGTGCTACTTTGCGTTGGTCTCGATGGGTTACGGCACGCTTCTCAGTCTCGTCGTGTTAACGCTGGAGCTACTCTGGCACAAACAGTGGGAATTGATGAGCTTTGCTTCGATAACGGTCGCTCCTCTTTGTGATAGAACGGCCGAAAGTGACACAGCTGCCTGGGAACACAGTGGCTCGCTCGAATTCCTCGAGGAGGAGACATTTCTGAATAACGCAGGCGAGAATATGGAACAGCAGCAATAATAACTGCAAGGTTTCAGTGATCGGATTCAGTGAACCAAGAAGCAACGTAACAAAAAATGTAATGAACAAATTAAATTTTTCTATACATTGTTCTTCTTACGCGAAATATGTTATGTGCGGGATGGTATAAAGTGTTGATAATAATTCTTTGTAAATTCTTGCATAAGATCCAATGTGCAATCGGGTAAATCCTCGACACATTTCGCAGGGTTGCCGGCGAAACGCGTGAACGACGGGACTACAGTTTCCGGTGGAACGACGGCTCCATCCTCAATGTAGCAACAGGCTTTCAGGACGCACCTCCTTCCCTGCACAATCAAAGTACGATTCTTACCGATGTATCGCGTTAGCCCCTTTATAAATATATATATACAATAGGTCCCGTTCAATAAAATTTCCGGTGTATGTTGTATATGCACGTACGATTACTGCGTTTTTTCCTATATATACGCAAGAACCGACGATAGCTGCGTTTACCACTGCTCGTTCCCCCACAAATACGTGGTCGCCTAATGTCAGTGGGAAGAAGGCAACGCTGAAGAAACGAGAAATAGTCAGAGACACATCTTCAACAAACATTATATTGCATTTATCTTTGCTTTCTGGCTACCAACCCTCTGCTGAATTTTTTAAACGGTGGCCTTATGATAGCGTGTTTGCTGATAATGCAATAACGTCCGGTTCTAACGTTGGCTAAATCACCTCTGATTATTGCATCCGACTGTACGATCACCTTTCCGTACAAAACGATACCTTGCGAGCCACAGAGAACTGTCTGTCTGCTTACCTTGTTCCCGGTTGCCTGAAACGTCGAAATCAAGCGATAGGTTAGGTTCTCATTTTTAACCTCAACGAATACTTTGTTTCTTTCCTTTTTTCATACCGTTTCGACGTATTCCGCCTTGTTGTAATACACGTCCTCAGGTTCCATGTCGATAAGAGTGCACTCCAAATTTTTAAGCCTTTTAACAACAAAAATCCCATATAATAATTAAAGAATGCCACCCATAATCACCATTGACGCCTTTATCTGTCAGTGCATTCTGCTACCGTAAAACTGAACGGTCTCGCCACCTACCGGCAGTACTAGGAATCACTAGACCCGCCTTGGCGGTAAACTCGATTCGATTTGTTAAAATTAATGCTGTTGTGTCGTACACGTAAATCGTGAAATACGTTCCACTTCTGTAAGCAAATGGTCAGATTCGTTAATTGGTCAGGAACGTTCGCTATGATAAACTGGCATCTGGCTTCGACCGCGACGATCGAATGTCCACGTGACCTAAATTAAGTAGTATCAAGTCGACGGGAGTGGTGAAACCAGAGTGTTTTCAAGTGGTAACGCCATGGTAACGGAAGGGTGGAAAGTCGTGTTAAGGGGGGGAAGTGTGGTCAGTTGGAAGGTAAAGAAGAGTCGTTTGATATTAATGATGTCGTTGTTCAAGACGAAAGAATGGTGGCGGACGAGGTGCGGAGCGAACGAAACCTTCGACAGGTACAGTCTACTAGCGGTTCCATTATTCGGAGAAGAGAAGAAGGACATCTTAATAGTGGGAAGTTACGATGGTTACTTGAGGATGTACAGTCCTTCCTCACAGTGGCTGGAGGAAACAAAATCGCCGACAAACTACAAATCTACGGACTTGATGATCGAGGCTCGACTTGGCAATTGTATCGTGGACGTTAAAGCGGGGAAGTTCGTCTCGTGAGTGTTCTTTCGTTGAAGATTTTGAAAGCCGACGAACGTGATTCGAGTAATAATTGAAATAATTGCAGGGGATCCCAAGATTTACGTCTAGCAATATTAACGTCTTCGAAGCTGCTCGTATATAACGCGGTCCTGGTAGAGGAATCCACGGAATACGGTTTGTTCCTTGTTTCGAGAAAAACAGTTGGAGAAAGATCGCGATGATCCTGGCTTTCATGAAACGCGAAAGATTCATAAACGGTGGACAATTCGGCGACAAGTATCGCCGTGATCCTTTCTCTGTGTTTCTCGTGGAGGAGAATTTTGTTTGTAATTCGGACCATAACGTTCGTCGTTTGCGGCAGGTGACAGGTGCGAATTGAAGATCGTCTACGAGCACACGTTGGCTAAATTTCCGGCCTCGTTGACGATAGGAGCATTCGGCGGTGTTCGCGGCAGGGACTTTCTCTGCGTTCAATCATTGGACGGCACGCTTCTGTTTTACGAACAAGAGATGTTCGCGTTCAGCCAAGTGCTCAGGAACCGTTTGTTAGCCCAGCCAATTGTGTATGTCTCACGGCACGACGTGTTCGTCACAGCCAGCTCCTCCTGGTTCCTCGAGTGTTATAGGCACGTGCGGATTAATCGGTGTATATGTATAATAATCGTCCGCATCCGTATCACGTGGTAGCGGCTCGAGCAAGACGTCTGATGTATGGCGTGTTTGTCGTTGCGTAGGTACCAGAGTATGGCGGAGAATACGAGACGCAAAGAGGAACGAGACGAGCAACAGCGGCCCTGCGGCACCAGTCTGGAGCCAGATTGGAGTTTCAACATTGGAGAGGCCATTTTGGCTATCGAGGCTGTTACGTTGACTAGCTTTGAGGTTGGTATCATGGTACTCGGCGAGAGACACCTCTACTGCTTAAAGGACAATTGCGCGTCGGTGAAGTACGCGAAGAGGCTCGAATACAGGCCGCTCTGCTTTCGACCTTACGTTATTGGTAATTGGCTCGGTTTTCCGTCGAGATGACTGTTAGAAAACGAGCGCGCTAATTGACCACGATGCTTTCAGAACCGGATGGGAAGTTGATGGTGCTCGTAATCGCCGACACGGGCACTCTGATGATTTACGAGGGCAGCACGCTCAAGTGGTCAGCGCAATTACCTTTCGTACCAGTTACCGTTGCCAGAGTTCAGCTTCAGGTAAGTCGAGTGCGCGACGATCCAGAGGCCTCCCTGTTCTCCTTCTTATCCTCGACGGGCATCGATTTGTCGTCGTTGAAAGAGAGGGAGAGAAGGAGGGAGGGGGGGGGGGCG